CCATCCGTTCAAGCGCCGAATCAAATAGCACCAAGATTTGTGACGGAAACGGTACTCATAAACGCAACCACTAACAGTGCTGCCGCCAGACTCACTCCGTGAACTGTCTGACTTCGCACATGTGCAAGAAGCACGAACAACAACGCAATCACCAATCCAAACAACTGTGAAAACAAAAATCCATCAGCAGAGATCAACGACCTTAAAAGAGCAAAATTCCAGGTAGCCAGAAAAAGCGCAACGAGATAGCAGAAGGGCCGAGCCTGTCTCATATAGTGGGTTGATGGATCAAATTTCGCGGCTCTGACGGGGTTCGTCACATAGGCGGCTAAAGCCAACACCAGAATCGGAAGGAATAAAAACAGGAAATCTAAAAATCGCCATTCAATTTCTCTGGATGCCCAAAGAACCCATACGTACCTGATTATCACCAAAAGAAGCCAACATGAAGCAAGTACGTGTACACCCACTTCCAAGATTGCAACGCGTTCTCGGATCAGCTTTCCCCACCCGGACAGAACTTCAGATACTGCAAAACCCGCCACGACGGAAACTAGAATCAATACAAATTCAAACGGGGACATGACTTTTCTCATGGTCGAAGAAATGGATGGTCAGAATTATACGGATGAACCAAATGATCAATGTCGGAGTTCGGCTGTGGATTCAACCGGCCGACGCAACACATTGGCTGAACCGTTCTGCCGGTGTTTCGAAATCTAGTGTTACGCGGCTTTCGCCAACTCCGAGCGAACAACCAGATTACAGATCTTAGGGCTAAGCTCCTCGATATCTCTTCACACTCCGACAATCGCACAACAGAAGTGGCACGTTTGCGCTTGGGTGGCCGGATGCCACCAGTTAACGAAAAGATGTGAGCGACTGAAGAATGAATCGCCTTTCTGCCAACGATCTCATATCAGGGCTTTATCTGTTTCTGTGTAGTAAATCCGAGTTCGGTATTTCATCAACAACACTCCTTGTCATCTTCATGAGATTAGTGTGTTGCGTCGACCAAATGAATCTACAGCTAACTGCAGTCCTAAAGACCAGTTTTTCAGAGAGATCTGAACAGTCGCCTTGACCCTAACACTACTCCGGTAAGGCTTCCAACGAAACCAATCAGTAGCAGAAGAAGCATTACAAAATCCCAAAGTGGTCGTTGCTCGACAAACCCTGGTAAATCCAAGCTGTGTAGTCCGTTAAACAACCATCGATAGAGACGGCGGCTACGATCCATCACAGATAATATTTCTCCAGAATAGGCATCTACGTGCACCCACGTTGATTCAGTATCATTGAGTTCAACCCGTATCGTTCCTGCGGGCAATTGTCCTTCGCGGAGGTCGGAATACGTGTCGGGTGATCGGATCGCGCCGTAATTCGCAACGTCAGATTTGGGCCAAGCGATATCAATTACCCGGGCTATTTCACTCGGACTAATAGACTGCGTACTGACCATCCCGTCGATGTTTTTAGCGGTCGTAAATGCAGCACCACCAAACGCATGGAATACTATCTCATGAGTATTCCTATAACCTCGCAGGTCTTCCTTTTTTATATGTGTGCCCATATCGCTCATGGAAAGCCCCTGGACTTGCGCCTTTTGCTCAACGGTAGCGTCCGGCATCGAAAACAGGCGTCCGTGGTCCATGGATAGCCAGCCACTGAATATCCAACTCAATACAAACAAACCGGAGATCAGACCTGAAATATGATGCCATCGCATCCATCCTCGGAAGGGGCTAAGTAGCTTCTGGCCCGATCGGCGCACTTTTACCAAACGCAGAACGCCCAGATAGATGCCAAGCAAGACACTGATGATCGCGAATAACGACAGCCACCAGACCGTTTTATCCCACCATGCCCAGTGTTTGCGCAGGACCGTTGGATAGATCCAGTGCGCAACAGCACCTAAGTAATTCCAGAATCTCGCATGGGCAGAGGTTTTTTGCAGAATTTCGCCGGTCTGCGACGAGATGTAGAGGTGTGTACCCTCCTGATCATCAAGTTCCAATCTGTAAAAAGGACGGTAGGGGTCGAACTTCTGGTGCACGATCCATTGGTCGTACTCAACGGGTTCGCTTACGAGAAACGAAGCATCAATCCTTGAGCTAGCATGTGTCTTAACCCGTTCGGGTGTGAGCACTGCAACTTTACCTGGAACATCGGCATATGCCCCGTGTAACTGATTTTTATTGTTGACACACACGTAGGTGGGGCGAGTTTCTAGGGAGATAACTCTCAGCTGACTGGCACGGTTTCCGCCACATTTGGAAATAGCTTCGCTCGGCGCAACATCAATTGCAGCGGTATTGATTGGTTCCAAATATTTAAGTCGTTCCGCTTCCGATAAAGACGGAAACGGTACATAGATCATCACCATGCCTGTGAAAAACCACATGGCAAAAAAAAGGCACAGCACGACGCCCAGCCACCTGTGCACGACGACGAAAGCCTTCGTGACGATATTTTCCATTACAGCGAGACGTCGATGCTCAGCTCGTATGTTCTAGGTGATCCAATCAATACTTGGTTGGCGTAAAGGAACCCGGGGTCTGTCTGTCCTAGGTAAAACACGTCCGACCATGAGACATATTCTTCGTCGGCTACATTATTCACGCGCGCACTTACTCGAACACTATTGTGTGTCCACGCAGCAAACACGTCTGCCAGGAAGTAAGACTTTAAAGTAACGTTGTTTGCATTGTCTCCGAAGCGATCATCCACAAATCTAAACGATGCACCAATCTCAATTGGAAGATCGGCGATGTCGTAGCTCGCCCACAAATTGGCCGTCCATTCAGGAACATTAGGTGGTGTATTTCCAGCGAAACTCACAAAGTTAGCGGAACGCGAAAACTCTGCATCTGTGTATGCTGCGTTTACCCCGAGTTTTAATTGATCAGTCGCAGCCACCGTGCCGGAAATTTCTATACCGTGTGATTCTCTGCCACCGACGTTCGCAGCACTATCAACACCTATTCGTTCGAGTACATCATCGCGCTCGATATCGAAGTAAGCAATTGTAGCCTCAGCCTTACCCTGCATGAGGATCGCTTTGATTCCAATTTCCCATTGTTCCGCATCAGTAAGGTCAAAGTCCTCACCAGCGTTCACTAGAAAGATGTTGGCATTTACCGGGTCTTTAGCGTCACTGTATTGCGCATAAGCAACCAGGTTTTCAGCGACGTTGACAACTGCGCCAATTCGCCAGCTCATCCAATCAAAGTCTCTATTGAAGCCGGAGGATTCACGCATGCCTGATCCATTGAAGTTTTCTCGATCAAGCTCCATTTCCTCATACCGGAGTGCAGCGATGAGCGAGAATTGGTCGTTTACCTTCAACATTTCTTCAAGAAACAAGGCTCGCGTTTCAATATCTGTAGGGCTTACCCCTCGCAGTTCTTCTGGTCCGTATAGTCCGGGAATGGGGGAGAACGGGTCCACAGAATCGCCAGGGGATAACGGTTCGGATATGCGGAAGCCTCGACTGCGTTCGAAATCAAGATTCGTGACTTCAAATCCACCGAGCAATCTATTTTCCATACCCGCTATATCGAAATCGTATTGTGCAGTAAATCGGTTGCCTAAGAGATCCTGGTCGTGAAAAACAAAAAAGTAACCGTAGTAGCGCTGAATCTCCCCGGTTTGTGTACACACATCTACGATTTGAGTGCAGTAGATATAGCCTTCCGCGTTCAACCACTCACGGTCAGCGTCAAATTGATAAAGCGTATTTTTAAACCTCAGGTTTTCGCTCGGCGACCACTCAACGTCAGCACGAACAAACAACTGATCAGATTCTGCTCGACTATCGCTGACGTTGTAGTTTCGGAAACGAGTTGCCTCATCAAGTGTCTCTCCAGTTCTGGTGGAAATAATATTGTTCATTGGGCGACTGGCGGATGTTGTAGGTACCAGTGGCGTACCCCAATAGTCAGCCAGATCATCATCAAGGTAATCTGCGCTTAACTTTAGCGATAGAGTATCGGTTGCTTGCCACAACAAACTGGCGGTCGCGTTCAGTGAGCTAGAATCCATACGATCCACATAGCCATCGGACTCTCGTTGGCTAACATCTGCTCGATACCAAGCGGAATCGCTCAATGAACCACCCGCGCCAGCCCCAAGCTGATACGTGTCATAGCGTCCGTACGAAGCAAGAAAATCCATTCTTTGGGGTTCTCCGATCTCTGCACTCTTGTTCACGGTGTTGATCGTACCCGCCACGGCGCCTTGTCCGTGCAGAACGGAGTTGGGACCGCGCAGAACCTCGATTCGATCGAGATTAAAAATATTCTGTGGTCGCATGACCATGTTAGCGGGACCAACCCACAGCCCATCTCTCAAAATGGTAATTTGCGACCGCGTAAAACCACGCATCGAAAAGGTTGAGGGTGCGGCAGGAGATTCGCCAGAAACTACTCCGGGCAGGCTTTCCACTGCGTCGGAGACCTGTTTGTAGCCCCGCGCTCGCATCGTATCCCCATCAATAATTTCAACCGTTGCAGGTGTTTCCAGCAGCGACAATCCTAGTCGGCTGCCTGCATCAGAAGGTCGGGCGAGGCCAAGTTCGCCAATCACTTCGGCAACAACGACGATCTCTTCGATAGGTTCATCGGGACTTGCCGCGTAAGCGAAAGAATTTGCTCCCAAGACTACAGCGACAGCGAATACGCTAATGCCGATAGTGCGCCTGCTTACTTCTGAAATCACCTTTATCGCCGCCAACTTTTTTGCGAACGACTAGGTTAAGGATAGTTACCACGAATACAAGGCTTTGGCTCGTTCATAACTTGGTCGAAAACAATGATCATGTAACTAATCTTTGGGAGTGGGTGTTCGATGCGATTCCTAAAAATACTCAACGGCGGCTGCCGACTAATTTCAGCCATTGATACTACGTTGAATTGATGTGACTCTTGAGCAACGTGAATCTGTATTTGAGAGGGCTCAACATGACAAAGACCATCATTTCGCTTATTGCTCTGGTTGCTATGGCGACTGCTTATGCCAGCCCGCCTGAAGGCGTGGCAACCGCGGCAACAAAAAAAGCGAATGCCGAATTTGCCGCGCGGTTGCCTATCTCAGATCAGACAGATTTTGATAATGCGAACAAAGGTTTTCTGGCCAAAATCGAAAACAAGATACTCAACGAAGACGGCTCGGTAGCGTGGGATCCAGACCAGTTTGAGTTTGTAAAGGGCAGTGCACCGGACACGGTAAACCCTTCTCTGTGGCGGCAAGGCAAGCTCAACAGTATCCATGGTCTGTTTGAGGTTGTACCGGGCATCTATCAAATCCGCGGTTACGATCTGGCGCAAATGACCTTGATTGAAGGCAAGAGCGGATGGATCGTCGTCGATCCGTTGACCACACCGGCACCGGCCAAAGCGGGGCTGGCTTTGGCAAACAAGGTGCTCGGTGAACGACCTGTCAAAGCAGTTCTGTTCACGCACAGTCATGGTGATCATTATGGTGGTGCCAATGGGGTTGTCAGCGAACAGGATCTTGCCTCTCGCAGTGTTCAGATCATCGCACCAGACAGTTTTGTCCGGGAATCTATCGGCGAGAGCATCGTAGCCGGAACGGCCATGAACCGCCGGGTGCAGTTTCAATTTGGCACATCGCTCCCAGCGGGAGAAACATCTCTTGTTGGCGTTGGCCTAGGCCAGGCCCTCTCGCGTGGGGCTATTGCGCTGATACCGCCGACCCGGAGCATCAGCAAGGATGGTGAAATGCTCACCATCGATGGCATAACCTTTGAGTTTATGGATGCCGGTGAAACCGAAGCGCCTGCAGAATTTGTCTTTTATCTACCACAGTTCAAGGCGTTACACAGTGCCGAAGTGGCGACACGCACATTTCATAACGTCCTTACCCCGCGCGGTGCATTGGTTCGCGATACGCTCAAGTGGAGCAAAGTGATCGATACTATGTACGCAAGATATGGCGCGAAATCCGATGTCCTGCTCGCTTCTCACCATTGGCCGACCTGGGGCACAGATAATGTGCAAGCCACACTCAGAAACCAGCGCGGTCTCTATCGCTATGTCCATGACCAGACAATGCGACAGGCCAACCAGGGCGCTACCATGCACGAAATTGCGGAAAATATCGGCGAACCGGACTTTGCCAAAACAGATTTCGGGGTGCGCGATTATTACGGAACTTTGAACCATAACTCCAAAGCCGTCTATCAACGTTATTTCGGCTGGTGGGACAGCGTGCCTGCCAACTATCATCAGTTGCCACCGACCCAGGCTTCCATCAAATACGTTGCGGCCATGGGCGGGGCGGAAAAGGCGCTGGCTGTTGGTGAAGCAGCCTTCAGTGAAGGCGACTACCGCTGGGCTGCGACAGTGTTCAACCATGTGGTGTTTGCCGATGCCGACAACGAGACCGCGCGTAAATGGCTGGCCTCAACTTATGAACAACTTGGTTTTCAGGCTGAAGCCGGAACATGGCGAAATATCTATCTTGTTGGAGCCGGGGAACTTCGCGAAGGCAACGTCAACACAGCAACGCTTTCCAGCGGCAACGCAAAAGTGCTGAACAGTATACCGGCAGTTGATTTATTTGATTCTCTGGCGACGCGTTTCAATCCAGTAAAAATGCAAGGGGATGGCGGGATCATTCAGTTCAACTTCCCGGAGCGTAACGAGGTTGTCAGTGTTGATCTGAATAAGAGTTACATGTTTCCCCGCGCCGGAGCCAATGCTGCGGCAAGCGGACAGGTCACGATCAGCCGAACCGATTTCACAGAACTGCTGACCCGCGAGGCGACTGCAGAAATGCTTGTTCAATCCGGGGCGATGACGCTCTCGGACGATACTGGCCTAATGGCAACAATGTTCAATGCACTGGATCCCGTAAACCTTCAGTTTAATATCGTCACGCCTTGAATGAACCTTGTGTTCAGTCCAGTCGTACCGGGTCCAGTTCAGTGCCTGGGGGATAGTTGTCGGCGATCTGGTACATGCCGTCGAGGGTGATCTCTGCGCGCAGAGTAAGGGCATCATCCGGACTGCCCTCAACGACGTTCAGCTTGGCGATTGCGCAGCGGTCCTGGTTCAGTGGTGCTTCCAGTGCCGTCAGGACGAGCCCGTCTGCACCAACCTCCAAGCCCAGCTCGGTGAGGGTGGCTTTGAGCATCCCGCCGTGTGCATCGAACGTGATTGTGCCCTGGAACCGCATGGCGCCCGTTGCGCTGCCGTCCGATGTGATGGTCAGGTCGCCACCGGGCACGGCTGTGAAGACAAAAGATCCATCCTCATCTCGGGTTGCGCCATCGCTTACGTCGATGGACCCTCCCGCGGCTTCGACGTAACTTCGAAAGCTGGCTTTTACGCCCCACCTCAATCTGTTGATACTCATGACTGCTCCTTTTCTCGAATCTCGTGACTTAGATCGTATCTTTCTTGAACCAGCTTATCGCTTCCTCTTCGGTTCGAAAAATTTTGGTTCGATAGCCGTCGGCGTGCCAATAATCTTGATACATCCTTGCGTTCGCCAACGCCATCAAAGACTTAGCCACATCGTCTCAAATACATAGGTGCCAGCAGTAGCCGACGGATAAATTTGCATCTGATATCCGGTGGGTAGCGACAGGAAATCACTGCTACTCACAAAAGGTCCCCGCCCAGCACCGCAGGCGTTTCGCAATGCGTTGTGAGAATAAACTGCTGGTGTTTTTCTATCCGCTTTGTGAGTGCGTCGGCAACCGCCGGAATCTGTGAGTTTTTGGCGAAGTATTTCAACATGCCCTGATTCTGTTTTGTCACCGGCATAATCTCGGGCGGCAGTGGAAGCACACTCATGCTGAGCGTCGCCCAGTAAATATCAGCCGCCGAGAGCGAGTCGCCAACGAGATAACGCGAACCTGATTTTTCCTGCGCCGCGAGGCGGCGGTCTATCAAGGCAATCGCGTCGACCATTTTCCCCAGTGCAGCAGCGCTTGCCTCTTCACTGTAGCCGTACTTTCGCCCCAACGGACTATCGCCTAGAATCCTCATGTTCCAGATGAATCCGTCCTCCGCCAGAACAACAGCACAAAGACCGAAGACGTCGACGCGAAGCTCAAAATCGTCGGGAATCAACTTCGGTGTACCTGCTTCACCAATTCGTTCCGCTAACGCGAGTTGTTCAATCCAGACGTTCCTCGGGCGCTCGTCATTGTGGAACATGGTGGGCAAGCTGGTCTGGCGGGTGAGCTCATAAAGCACTGCCTGGCGGTCGGCTCCAGTGTCTCTGTCGATACCCATCATCGGATGCAAGGCACGGATCAACGGTATGCCCTTGACGTAACAGATGTTCTTGAGGGCTTCGGCGAAAAGCGCAGGAAGACCCGGGATGAAAGTCACTCTGGTTCCGGATGTCATCGCAGCCGCTTCTTCGAGTGTAATGAACTCGGGCGTCGACGTTGTTTTGCGTCCAATCGATGATTGCTTGTCGTCCGACATCTTGTGTTCCTTTCAAAAGCTGATTATTTCTCTGCCTACAATACCTGACGAAACTGAATAAAAAAGTGATAGTGGTATGAGGTTCGGGGCGCTGCTGTTTCAACACAATTTTTGTTCTTTCAAGACCAATTAGCGCAAGGAACTCTGGTGCGCGATCTTGTGCCCTACCAGACTGACGCCCTATCGCGATGTCCATTACCTGTTCGCAGCTTTCCGAGCTCCTGATCCCGTTTTCTTTTCCTCGCCGATAGATTCTGTCACTGTTGGGCTTAAATCGGAAAAGGAGAAATTCAGTTGGACAATCCTGTATACATGGTTGGCATCATCGACGTGAAAGACTTTCAGACGTATGCGGAAGAATACGGTATGCCTGTGGGCGAAATGTTTGCAGAAGTTGGCGCGGAGATCGTCGCAGCGTCGACTGAAGCGGAAGTGTTGGAAGGAAACTGGGATGGTAACTGGTCCGTTATTGTTAAGGTGCCCAGCGCTGAAATAGCAAGAGAGCTCTACTACTCGGAAAAGTATGCGCCCTTCAAAGCGGCGCGCCAGAAGACATTGGCTAATCAGACAACCCTTGCCATTGTTCCTGCGTTGGCCTGAACAAAATTGTCCTGTTTGATTAGGGCACGATGCGGGCATTCAACGAGAATCCACAGCCAAAACCAGCCATTGGCTACTCGACCAAGACCTCTTTGAACTCGATGCCGTTGAATGATTGTCTCCGAAGTTTGGCCGCTGCACTTGCGGACGCGATGATCAGCGGTTGGCGTTCGTCTCCACTGCCAAACTCCAAATCCGTGCGGAACACACCATCGTCATGAGGCAAAGTAGATAGTTTCAAAAAGGCAGGTGTTGCCCCCACGATTGACTCGAATTCCCCGCAAGCGTTGCATCGGTTCTCAAATCGCGTCTTGCGTCGCTCCGCATCAAACGGGACCGTCGTAGTTGGCCGAAAGACAAAGAAGTCTTGGTCGGCTGGTAGGGGAATCAACTCCAGACAGGACAGATTCAGACCAGCGCAATACTCGGCAAATCGACGCGAAGAAATGGGAACATTGTCATAGGTGAATCCGAAGTCCCATCGCTTATCCCGCACCCTCAGACTCGGCGAAATGTAATCTCGCTCGGACACAAATCCACACGTAGGGCATCGCTGCACGTCGGAATCGCGAAACATGTGAGAGTCGTTGTCTGGCCCGGATAACTGGAATGCGATCATTGAGCGAGAGGAATCATGAAATATGCGACCGACAGGTATGGGCACAAAACGGAATTCCCTAGTTAAGCCTTGAACGGCGGCTTTCTCTATAGCCGACACTCTGCATTTAGGTTGCTACATCTGATTTCGGCCAAAAGCTGCCAAGTATGAACAAAATAATTATTCAGTTGGTCGCACAAAAACCGGCATCAAGTCGAGGAAATTCGGTGAATCCTGGTTCTCTCCAAGATGTTCGTCAAGTACCCCGGCGATTGTCGGCGTAATCACAGACCTAATTTGAGGCCAAATCGCCTTTCCTCCCGGTTTACGTAGAATAACGCCAGTCCAATCCAGCCAGGCGATGTAGTCAATTCTCGGCAACAACTTTGCGTTATACCGTTCCATTACATTCTGCATGTGCAGCACTTGTTCCATCACGAAAAAGCAAAAACGAACCTTCTCTTTTTCGTCGAGACTTTCCAACGAGTTAACACCTCTCGCGACGATGTCCGATACTTCAGCATTCAAGCAAAGAATCCCTGCTGTTCGATCCCTCGCCAACGTTACCAAGCTGTTCCATTGTCATCACCAAAAGACCTTACAAGTGTTTTTTACAGTGTACATCGGAGTTTTGGCTACGACTCCTTTGGGTCGAGTGGTTTTGCCCTAGCTCCGTGGACACCTAGAATAGGGTCGTGGACTTCCCACGGTCTGATAGACATCTCCAGGCTATGATAAGAGCTTAGGAGGAACACCATGAGCAACCAACGTAAGTTTGGGTATCGATTGGAAAAAGGTTTTCCAGAGTGTCGGGCGCCTTGCTGGCTGGAGCCCATTAGAACGGTCCGATTTCAGAAGAATCTGGCCGAAAGCTGAAAAATCTACGCACTTTCGGATTCGATGAGAAGTGACCTTTCGATGGGGCGAATATCCTGGCATGTTTTGCCAGAGTCCAATCTATGCTCCAGTCATCTAATGCTCAACTTACTAGATGGTCAATCTTCCCCATCGTCTTTGTTGGGTCACTGCTTACATTCTACTATCTACTTGCTTCGGACGTTCCGGGCGCAGTGGCGCTTCTCTCGGTCTCGATCGGTAGCTTGCTCGTTATTGCCGTGTTGGAACTTGCAGTACCTTATCGGCGCGAGTGGACTTGGGTACGGGATCGACAGCTGCCTAACGACCTGATTCACGGTGTACTCCTCAGCTCGTTAGGCCCTCGCATTGGTGAAATCGCCTCGACCACAATCATCGTCGTAGCAGCAGCGGCACTCTCCGGTGTGACCGACCATGGCATCTGGCCATCTGCATGGCCATTCTGGGTACAGCTGCTGCTCGCGATCGTGATCGCGGATTTCACCGAGTGGTGCAAACACTGGACCTTTCACCGCATTCCCTGGTTATGGCCAATCCATGCGCTCCATCATGACATTGATCGCCTACACGTGGCTAAGGGTGCGCGGCTCCACTTTCTAGAGTCGACTGTTCGGGTGTTCGTCGTCACTGTTCCACTCGTAGTTCTGGGCGCAAGCCCTGAAGTGCTCTTTTGGTATGCGGTTGTACTCAATGTGGTAGGTAATCTGAACCATTCCAACGTAGACACGCTGCTTCCTAACGCTGCTCACTACGTGTTCCAGACGCCACAAGTACATCGTCTGCACCACGCTATTGATACTGATCTCGGCCGCTCTAACCTATCCTCAATTTCCATGCTTCCAGACCTGCTGTTCGGCACGTTCCGACATCCTGCTAAGCACAATCTGGATGCTGTAGGCATGGTTGGAAGTCCTATTGGCGGCAACCTTTTTACACAACTGGCATCGCCGTTCGCGTGGCTACTGCTCACACGGAGAAGTAAATCAACCAAACCATCGTCCGTAATCGCTTCGACTGGGGTAGGCAAATGAGCTACAGAAAGTGGTTGTGTTGTTTCATTTCGATTCTCGCCATAGCAGTTCCACTGAGGAGCGTTGCTGAAGCCAGTGATTTGTCAGGGAAATGGGCGACGCAGGGCTTTGGCTCGATTGTCGAGATCTCTACCTGCGAAGAAAGCGTGTGCGGGCGCATCATCTGGTTGTGGGACGCTAAAAATAAGACCGGTGATCTAAGGCGCGACCGACATAATCCGGAAGTTGGTCTTCGCGACCGGTTGTTAAACGGGATCGAAATCCTTCAAGGGTTCACGCATACGGGAGATGGCGTATGGCGACGCGGACGAGTCTACAATCCCGATGATGGCCGCACC